CCCCCCCACCCATGCCTGTAAGTAATGAATGGTCCCATAGGCACCGCCAACACTACATCCTCGATTGATATATATATATATATTAGACTTAAGATACGGAGAAAGAGTGCAACAGTGCGCGCAATATTTTAGGCAATGTTGCTGACAGAAGTAGGATTGTTGTAGGAGCGCTGTATATTGACCTCTACCATGTGACGTCAAAGCAGCTCAATTTGGAGAACAAACAATAATTTCAATTTCCTGAGAATTGGAAACCCATTGTTAGGTACTCGAAATTGAGCTGCATGCCGACGTGCTGCAAGGAGTATATTACATATTATACATAGAATTAATGATGGGTAATTAAACTGAGTAGTGTACAATTTGGTCTGGAATGTTATCGTCTGACAACGTAGCAGGATTGCAACTTTTTAATCCCGAGTATGATTTCAGTCGACATTGATTCCATTGCTGAGGTAGATACCTCTCTTGCTGAAATCTTACCTTAAGTAAGGATTTCATCAAATTGTCCGACAAAGTGCATTCTGGGATTTCTCCTTTATTTGCCTGGATTACTTCAGCTGTTAATTGCTACAAGACAACATTTGATTGGATGGTGAGGGATAACGTTTATAAGATACAGATCCACTACAATAATGGTCACGATGAGTCGAAAGGAGTGAAGTCTAGCCAAGTCACGTTACGTTACGTACAGTCATGTCAAGTCATTTTAAGGGTCACATAAAGTCGCTACATCAAGTCATGTCAAGGGTCGCATCAAGTCCTGTCAAGGATCATATGAAGTCACGTTACGTCAAGCCATGTCAAGGGTCACATCAAGTCACGCTACATCAAGTCATGTCAAGGGTCACATCAAGTCACGCTACATCAAGTCATGTCAAGTCACGTTACGTCAAGTCATGTCAAGTCGCGTCAATTCAGGGTAATCAGGTTAGTCACATCGAGTCAAGTCGCGTCATTCACGTCAAGTTAAGCTTGATTGTTGATTTTGCGGAATCACTCACCCCTTTCATTTCGTTTTCTAATTGTTTCGTATCTTCATTATCTTCAATATCTGCAGCTCCGACGTTCAATCCCAGAATCTACATCAAGCAACAATTACCACAAAAAACGAAATGTTATCCATAATTTACGCATAGAGAGTGCCCTTAAAGTACTACCATGTAAAAACTTCACATATTGATAATATATCTTGATTACAAGCAAGCTCCACGAGCTCAAGGTGGTGTAATGTATTTACTTCTTTCAAAGTGGTCTTGAGACAAATAGAAAATACAAAACAAAAAATACAAAACAAAACAAAAACAAAACAAAACAACAAAAACAAAACAACAACAACAACAACAAAAAAACAACAATAAGTTATTAAAGATACTAACTTTAGATAACGTGTTTTCAACTTGTTTTCTTGAAATGCTCTCATCAGTTCTGAAGACGAAGAATATTCTTATGTAATCAAACCAAAAAACATAACCAGAAATATACACCTATTTCAAAAAACCTTGTCCGTCCGAGATCTGAGAGGGGCTATATAAGGCTGAATTCTCGACTTTCACATCCCCATAATACTTTGCGTCTTTGGGGGCTTACCAGAGGGTAAAAACCCACTTATTTTGCTGAAGGCTGATCAGACAATGTTGACAATACCTTGTTTGGTATCCAAAGATAAAATGAAGAAGTAAAAAACAAAAAAAGATCGAAGCTTGAAGACGTTTAAGGTAAATTTTCAACATTTTTTCGTAAGTCAATACATTTTCTGTTAAGACCAAAACTCTTGATGATCTGTACACGCAAAAATAACTTGGAATAAACTGATAATCAGTATTGTACAGATAAAAGCAGGTATAGTATAAATGCAATTAAGAAACCTTTCAATTTGGGACAGTTTTTTGATTGGTTACCCCAAAAAGACGCAAGGCATTATGGGGATGCGAAAGTCGAGAATAGAATTTTTGTACTAGAATGTTTTCTGGCTAAAATACGAAAAATCACATTCCTAACTCAAAGGTCATGCTTCATATTCCAATCTTAAAGTAAACTACGTTGTTCGCTGTGAATATATTAAATTTTGCAGCTTCCTACTCGGTCTAAGATTTCAAATCTCCGACAACGTTTTTTTGAAATAGAGGTTTTGCATCATCACGTGACGGCAGCCATGTTAGATGGCAGGAACAATACAATCGTTTTACATGAGAAAGAATTCAATTCCCAAGAGCAAAGGAATTCTATTGTTCTGCAATCAAACCACAGGTAGCCCAAGTCGTATTATGGGCGCAGGCACGTGATGGTGCAAAGTCACCTCTATAGGTGTATATAACCAAACAAATCTTTTGAGTGGTACTCACTGCATAGGATCGTCGGGTTGTGTTACTCTTGGTTCGGGAAGATTGACGATGAGAGGACTAAGACGACCCTCAGTTGCCATTAATGAAGACTCTAGAAATACGACAAAGAAATTCAGATTTCACTAAAACTTTGTTGTTGCTGCTGTTGTTGTTG